ACTTGTGGCCATGCTGTGTACTCTTTCACTACGCGCCTTTTCTAAAAAGTGTTGTTATCAGAATTGATATATTATTTATATCAAAAACCAATGGAGCTGAATATACTTGGGTGACGAATCGGTGCAGATGTTTAGAAAACCAGAAGTTGTTTTTCTAACATATTAAGTGTCAATCGCCAAGTTTAATAGTTTAGGTACCTGCAGTCAATAAACCAAATTTTGGGCGTTATTCTGATTACAAAAATATTGCTATATGGGGTGGAAAGTGGAACCTATTTGCTGAAACAAAAATACAGTTGGAAACCTTTGAAATCTGAGGGAAAGTTGGCAGAGATTTTGATGGGTAAAATCGAAAGAAGAAGAAGAGCGAGTGGCAAGTAGAGATTTTTTTTTATCTGATGACTTACAAAATGGATTGAAAAAGGGAAGCTTTAATTAGGAAAGGTGGTGCAGGCAGCGAAGAACAGAGAACAATGGAGAACCCCAGTCGTCGGTCCTCGGAATCGAGGAGGACACCGTGATTGACTGAGGGATTATGGGAAGGACATCGTGCTTGATTGGGGTATAATGGGAGGACACTGTGATTTACTGCGGTATTATAGGAAGAAAACCGTGATTGAGTGAGGTATTATGGGAAGGACACCGTAATTGAGTGAGGTAGTATGGGAAGGAAACCGTGATTGAGTGAGGTATTATGGGAAAACACCATGATTGACTGAGGTATTATGGGAAAACACCATGATTGACTGAGGTATTATGGGAAGAAAACTGTGCTTGACTGAGGCATTATGGGAAGGACACCGTGATTGACTGAGGTATTATGGGAAAACACCATGATTGACTGAGGTATTATGGGAAGGAAACAGTGATTGATTGAGGCATTATGGGAAGGAAACAGTGAGAGACTGAGGCATTATGGGAAGGGCACCGTGATTGACTGGGGTATTATTCTACTTATGTATTATTCTACTGCCTTTATTTTGAATATTCTTAGTTGTTTAGTATTGTTTCAGTGATCTTTAATCGTTAGGCTTGTATAGCTCAACGCTAGCCCTAGTTGACGCACTTTCATATATATTGTATACATAAGCAGAAAAACAAGAACAACAACACTATCATATGGTAACTTTTTTCTGTACGACAACAGAGCTAAATATATCATTTTCTTTTCTGTTATAACAATTATAAACACTTTTTTTTTTGCGTTGATACACCTGTACCAATACAAATTATAATACTGTGTTGGTCTTCGTTGCTCTTTTATTAACAGGAACAGGATTAATTAGTTGTGTTGGTTTGCATTGAATCATCCATGATTACTCACATTCACTGTAGGAAACATAAATGTTTTTAACTTATTTTATTCTCAATCATTGTGGGCCACTTCAAACCAAATGAAATAAAACCTTTGAGTACATAAAATACCCCAAAGTAACCCATCTAGCTTTTGCGCTGAATATAAACATATTCCAACTAGCTAACAATTCAACTAAAATAGCACCAAAAGGAAATTCATTGAATCCATAAGCCGGAATTAGTGGGTTCTGAGGATTACTATACTCAACAGCGCATTTAGCTGTGCCCTACACACCTATAGTAAATACAAACATTGGTTAATCTTTCGTATGCTGTTCACCAGGAGAGATTTACTGCTGAATTGCTTGTCTTTTACATATACTAAAGTAGTTCTTATTTTGGAACACAAGTTGGGTTCAAAGTCAGATAAATCTGGTCTCTTCGTATCCGTTTTTGTGCTACGTTAAACAAAGAGAGTTATTGCATGTACTGGTTGAGATATTGGCGATAATTACTAACTTTTCAACCCACTACGAGCTGCAAGAAGTTGCACATAGTCTTCATAACTATTCACAGTCACAGGTGATTTATCAGTAATCCCCCTAACCCTAATGATATCCACTCTGCATATGTAACATGTAAATAGTATTTGGTTTCAAAAATATTACATGCAAACAAATATAACCTTCTCATAGTATGATCAAAGTTCGTGTTCTGATCGTTGAATATGAGGTGGGCTAAAAAGCGGGAAGTTTCCAAGACATATACTTGAACTGACGTATCTTACAAACTACTGGACTGCAGGGGTAAACGTCAGTTGGACACTTATTTTTTTCGTTGACTAAGACTGACCTGCTCACTAATTTTGATGAATGCCCAATGGTATTGTTACCGTTCGATCACAAAAATATAGTAAAGCGAAAACCTAAAGAAAATGCAATATTTTTCTTAAATGAAACAAAACCAATACAGTGACTTGCCATGCAATCAGTACGTTTCCTCTGATTGTGAAATTGTTGGTATAGGTTTTTGATAGGTAATAGCTTAGAATTTGGTTACGTCAATTATTTTCTAATAACATACTGAGTAATAAGAAGAGTCTTCATCGGCTTGATATGTTCCATAACCGTCATCGCCATTAAGATTATCACAGTCCTTTGGCCGCCTAGACATACCTAAATCACTACTGGGCTCTCGTATTAGCCTACAAGATGGCTGAGTATTTCGATTTAAAGTCTCATATAGGTGAGCTTCAACTGCAGAACAGGACATTATGCTTCCATTTCCTCGTGCTTTGCCTGAAACTATTTCCATCTCTTCAAATTCCCCTTCTCGCACCATCTGCAACGTTTTCGACTTCCGAAAGCTCCAAAGCTTACTGAAAGGATTGCTAAATCTGGAAGATGAGGAGGACCGTTTGGATCCCATGGATAACTTTGACTTCATAGATCCTTTATCTGATTCAAGGTCCTCGAAATTCAAAGAGATACTTATAGATTGTGTTTCAAATTCTTTCTCGTAATTTTTATTGCTTCGTTTACTACTTCCATTAGAAGATACAGACTTTTTCGCTCTGTCTTTAAGCTGAGGAACTACGTGATGTGTGACTTTTATCTGCTTCTTCCAGTTATCTGCTTCTTCAACACAGAATCTTAACATCTGTTGATATATACCAGAGGTTTGAAAATGAAGATCGCCTAGCTTCTTAACAAACGAAAAAGTAGAATCAAGATCTATTTCCACCAAAATTGGCCCGCCATCTTTGAGAGTGCACGCAAGGACCACATCTTGCCGCTGAATTTCTTGCAGACGAACAACACTGGTAAAATTGCATGGAAGCTTTGGTTGAGTGCCACTGATAAGACGGGTTGTAAGGGGTAGTGGGAAAACCCGAAGGAGATTAGGTAACAAGAAAACGTGGCTGACGGAGTAGGATGAACGACGAGCTACGGCGTAAAACTTGCCAGAGGCAATAAATGGTATGAACATTACTTCTCCCATCTGACTTAAACACTTGGCATACTTTCCACGGTTCCTGTCGTTCCTATTTCGTCCACTTAAACTTCCTCTGGACTTTGAACTGATGTCCTCATAGACTCCAAGCAGCCTTAAGACTTGTCCAGCAGACACCTGTAACACCAAAGCAAAAGCTTTTGAACATGTCAGAATAATATATTATAAAATGATAACACAGAGCTGCAATGATTTTATTGTCTTGAAAATGTTACGTGTTCTACAGTAATTCCTGTATAATATATAATTCCTCTTATAATATATTATAAAATGATAACACAGAGCTGCAATGATTTTATTGTCTTGAAAATGTTACGTGTTCTACAGTAATTCCTTACGCCGAATCCGAAAATGATATCAATTTTTTCCCATCAAGTACAGATTTTTCACAAGGCGTCATAACGTAATACATAAAAGAAAGACCACAACATGTAGTTTTGAAACTAAAAGACGTAGATTTCACACACAGGATGAATGAGGATGCATATACGTTTGACGTCAATGTTCTTCCCTTTTCTTTAGTTTTTTTGTATTTTTGGTAACAAACATAATAATAAAAAATGTTCTTTGCGGTTAACGAAATAATAATTTGAACTAAGTAAAAGTTTTTTTTCTTTGTAAAAAATCCTTGCATGATAGAAAAAAAAAGAATATTATTTTCGAAATCCACGTAGCTGAATTATGGAAAATCCGTCATTAAAACCAAAACAACATTTATGAAGTTTAAATTCGCAGACCTGTGTAATTCATGAGCAAAGAGGGTTTCTGTATGTCAAATGGTCACTTCGTTAGAGCTATTCACAACGCCCAAACACACATGCTAGATGACTACAGTCACTGTATGATATTACAAATTCAGTTTTAAGTAAATCCACATTTCCTGGAAGATATTGCAAATGCGCATAAAATTATGACGCTGATTTAGCTAAACTAAATTAATCAAACATAATGAAAAAGAAGAACTTTTAGGTTAATAGTTAACCAAAAACATGAAATTCTGCAGGGGTTTTCCTAGTGAGCAGTTGATTACAAACTTTGCATCTATAAAGATATTTGTGCAGTTGCAAATTCACTTATATAAGTAAGTTTACGTGGGTGAATATTAAAAAAAAAACATATTTAAGACTAAAAAATACCATTGATAAATAAATGTATTTACTAGAATATTCTTTATTTTTTGGATCATATGTTACTAGGCCTGCATATATGAGGTGCAATAAAGCTTCATGTATTAAAAAATGATGAAGTTAAGGAAAAGCTCTGAAATTCTGTTTTATTAAGTATAGAAAAATGTGTGAATTGTCACAGTTCAAACTTGTTCACAAAACCAGGCCTTAACACATCCAAACAGTTGAATGTAACGTGTAAAACTCACCCACACTGAATATACAATATCTTTTGCAAGTTTGGCGTGAATTTGAAAATTCAATATATATATATTTCACAGCTTTTCAAATATTCTACTGAAGTTTAGAAAAATATTGATTTATTTCAAAATGCTTTAACAACGTGAAATTCTACACCTATATGAACGCAGCCAAAGTTTGGGAACATCAAAGTTGGCAAAGTTTGAAAACGTTGTTATATGAATTTACGGTGGTTTCTTCATCGGTTAAAGGGATATTGGGCTATTTAGAAGTAAAGTGCTAAGATCGTTAAGTCTTATCCGTAGGTTTAATTACATTTTCTAAACTGAAAAACAAAAAAACATAATTGCTTCGGTTGTTTACACCAATTATTAATATTAGTTCATTTCCACGATAGCAGTACATTGTAGATTTTCCTCGTGCAATAGTAATGAGAACCTGTTTGAGCTAAAAACAGAATATTAATCTAATTATTATTTGTGGAATGATTTTAATACGATATTAAATACTTGGGGCAATTAGAAAAGAAACGAGTTTGAAAATAAGTTAATTTGTTTCGACTGAAATTACTGAAGTATTTGCTTGATATTTTCTTCTATTACTGCCACCTGTCGGGAGTTATGGTAACACCCTATAACAAGATTTCTGATTTTGAAACTTCAGGGTTATTTCCATTAGGAGGAGAAGTATCTAAATAAAAATTAACTCCAATGAAGTCAGTTTATAAGTTCAAGAAGTTGGTTTTAACTAACTATGATATCACAAAATTGCAGTGTTTCATTGCCTAGTACAACTGCCCTACAGAAGACTCAGATTAACTAATGTGCACTTGTACAGGATCTCCTTCCCTCAGTTCAAGGGGATAAAAACTAGCTAACATAAACACAAGTTACTCATGTATGTTTTACAATAACTGGAATGTTTTTCGGTCTATCTGTTAGTTCAAGGGGATGGGATACAAGGATATATTTTAACTAATTATTATAGTAAGAATACGATATTGTGGCGCTATTTTAATTTTGATATATAAAGATATTCTGATATGCACCCGCTGTTATTACATCACATGTTTCGTCTAGTTGAAGATGTGGTAGGAAATTATTTTATAGTGTCCCAAAATTCTTTAATCCAGCATTGGGGCTTCTAGTTTCTGTAATATACTTACAGCAACCTTTGTGTAAACCGATTTCTCCACCGAGTCTCTGGGCTCTGGAAGTTGATATCCTATAACATCGTTCTTTGTAACAAACAGAGGAACGCGAGCACGTGCTACTTGTTCGATAGTGGTGAAGTATCCAGCTGTGTGACCATCGTCCGAGATGACAGCCAACCAACCTAGACACAAACACAAAAACAATTGTTAATGTAGGGAAATATTTACGGATTTGATAAATTATTCACGAAATGAACAATATAAACAAGGTACCTGTAACGCAGGAAAAAAATAATACTGTCTGCGTAGTAATATATTTATGGTAAGTTTTGTGTTGCTGTTTGAAATATAAATTTCTAGTTGAATTTAGATTGGAAATAAGGTTTAATTATCGTAAGAAAATAAAGACCTAGTTCTACTAGTTAGTTGAGTAATGCTGAAGTGCTTCAGAACCAAAACCTGTAATAAATTAATTGCGAATGTGTATTTTACTAACTGAAAACACATTAAAACAATTGGCAAACATATAAGATATTTTATTTTATAAAGTAATTTTTCACCGTCCTCTTCGAACGAAAATATCCCTCGTTCATACGTGTCAGTGAATTTTAAGCCGCCATCTATCGACATATTTGAGAATCGTGCAATCAAATCATAGTTAAATTATTACGCATGTGTTTGATATAAACACTAACAAATAGCAAGATTAAAACACGCACACACACAAACAATAAGTATAAATATGCAAAAATACGGACGACAAGATAATATTTTTCTTTACTTTATTCGTACAAAATAATCACAAATGTATCGATAATTGCACTCACCACGTCAAAGTTAAATACATAGTTCACTCTGACCTCTAAGACCCTTGGTTAACACTACCACATCATTCAGAAGAGGCGAGCGAGTCTTTTGTTTGGGTAGGCTTATTCTGTCACGTGTAGGGGGTTGTACAGTCGGGAAGAATCAGTTCGTGTTCTTAAGTGAATAAACTCCTCAGTGACTCATCCTTCGACCTCTCCATATCTCTCCATATGTACTGTATAATATTTTTGAGTTGGTAAGAATAATGACCCGTGAGGGACAGATGATTTGGGGAGGCTTAGCCTCCCCAAGCCTCTTATACGCGCCACCCCCTTGCATCAGGTTACATAAGAACTGGTAATGCGGTTGGAGGACAGAAAGAAAAACTTACTGTAGACACCATGGAGCGAATTCGTAGAACATGTTAAGTGTACCAGTACTGGTAAACTTTGTATGATAATACAGTCCACATTACACTACATGGCAAGTCTTGACGAACAACTATTCGGATCAAAGCAAACTATGTATTTACAGCGAGACTTAAAACCTTCCTCGCCATCAGTACAGGTAATTAAATATACTTTTCTCACGTTTCTGCTCATAGATTATTTTATCGACAGAGAACAACAAACTGTTAAAAAATGTTTCTGATTCAAACAGAAGGGTGAATTGCCTTCTTACCTTGGCATCACAAGATTGAAACTAGCTCGTAATTTAGGGTAAATTGCCTCCTCACCACAAGATTGAAACTAGCTTAAAAATTAATTTGAGAATAAATAATGTTATACGATGTATATAATAAAAAAGTTTAAATCGCAGTTATAAAATGGAGGATAACACCGTAACACGCCGAAAAGTACTACTTAAATATTTGAAGTTCACAGAAATGCCGCTAGGATTGTTAA